AGTTCGTGAATACGATTCGAAACGGTATTGTGCACCTCGGCATAGCGTGATACCAGATAGACTGGCTTCGTTTAAAACTCTTGACATGCGAAAGAACTTCCTCTTTAGTCCTAAGAGTGGTCGCCAGGTGAGAGTTTTACGTAGCAACTGTCGTTAAGGTAAACAACATCAAGGCCGGCTTTGCACGTGAACCGGAGAGTCAGAACTCCCTTGAGTTTGTCGGAATGCAGTTATAGACAAAGGTTCCACCGCATCTGGACATCTGTGTTTACCGGTTACCTCCCGCCGGTTCCTGATGCCTTGCCTTACGTAACAGAATCGCGGAGGATTAGAAAGTACTTTTGGTGAACGTTCCTTTTGTGTGAGCATGTGCGCTATTTTCGTGGAACCTTGAAAAATCTTTCTTTTTTCCCCGCACCGTTAATAGATAATGTTAGTGCTTTGTTGTGTTTTGTCTCTTTGCAAGTATTCCAAGTTGTGATTTCTACCACATTGAGGACACGCATTCTAGTTAATCGTGTTGTCGACATGTTATTTCATATTATGCATTTTCTTGAATTCCCTTTAAGTTTCTTGTTACTTGTCCACAGTGTTGGGAAAAGCGCTTTTCTGGGGCATAGCTTTTATTCAATCATATATTTTTTTTCTGCTTTCTATATCTGAAACCTTAAAGGGAATACACCTCAACTACACTGCCAAATACTGTGAACGTGCAGATAGTTTATTTTCATATCTTGCTGGACTATAGCACGAATCCTGGTTAAAACCCTCAGGGACTTTTTAATCTTGATTGTTTGGAGAGTTACTGTTTTCAAGGCTTTTGTGAACCCCGAAGAGTGGGGGGGGGGGGGGAGCAGAGATGTATATGTTCCGACTGTAGTGACCCCAACACTGTGGACAAGTAACAAGTAACTTAAAGGGAATTCATGAAAATGCTTACAATGAAATAAACAAATTCCTGTTTTTGTGTCGTGTGTGGTAGTTTGAAATGTGCCGAAACATTGCCTGTGCTCTGCTGTTGATTAGACATATTATGTGTCCTCTTAGTTGTCAATGTGTTAATTTACCTTCCTGTCCAACGTCACGATTCAAATCAAACAATGCCAAACACCGTGAACGTGCAAATATCTATTTATTTTCGTATCTTTCTGGACGATGGTACGAATGATCCTGGTTCACACTCCCAGGGACTTTTTAACCTTGATTGTTTGGAGAGTTTTCAAGGCTCTCTACCAGCTTAGCTTAGTATTATCGGAGATAGACTTTAAATTCGGATATACTTTTTTTTTGAAAGACGTTACAGTGTTCAAAAGGACATTCATACCATACCATACCATCATACCACCATACCATATCATACCATTCCATACCATTTTCGTACCGTATCGTACTGTACCATGCCAGGCCATACCATACCATACCATACCACACCACACCACAACACGCCACGCTACGTCACACCACACCACACCACACCACACCACACCACACCACACCACACCACACCACACCACACCACACCACACCAACCATACTTTGCGTATCATAATCGTATCATGTTTGTCTTTCTTATTATTGAAATGTGTCTACTCAACTCACTCACACACTGCACCCCATCAGGGAAATGAGAACAGAAGACGAAACGGATCTATCTATCTATCTATCTATCTATCTATCTATCTATCTATCTATCTATCTATC